TCTACAGACTTGTGGAGAGTATCAGCTGGGTAAAAGGAGGAGCTCGAAATAGGCACTCTGACTGAGGAAAAGACAGCTCTTAAGTACTTGTTCTTGGAGTTGGCAGCCAGATGGTGAGATGGAGCAGGCAGATTGACTAATGCCTTGGCATCCTTTTAGCTCTGTCACTTGGCAGCCAAACAGGTGGTAGCTGTGTAAGGAGCTGTGGGGAATATGCTGAGGAATGTGTTGGGAGGTAGGAGGGAGCTGAAAGAACAAGAACAGTATTAAGACTCAAACCCATAGGAAAGCAGATTTCAGTATCTTCCCCTTTCATGGAGTGACTGACTTAGTGACAGCAACACTGACACTAAGGTTTGTCCTTGTCCTTCAGTTCTTGTTTACAGTCTTTGTCCATTTGCTTAGAGAGTTACATCATGTTGTTGGATACTTGCAGCAGATAGTAAGAAGGAAGAACAGCCACGTGTATTTTTGATGGTCCTTTTCTCAGTTTCTAGCTTGCCAGCAAATTGATGTATCCCTCAATAGGAAGAGCTGCATTCTTGTAAAATACTAGGTTGGGAAAAACTGTAAAACCAAAATTGTTACTCAAGTTTAGTTACAGATGGCTTTGACTAACTGCTTTTATGATTTTATGACCTTTCCTAACATCATGCAGTGATGACCAGCACAAAATAGCTGTGCTCTTACTGTGTTCCTCTAGCCTTTCCTCCTTCCGAGCACTTAGAGCATAGCCAAATACGCTGATTTTCTATAGGGTTTTGTTGATTCTGTTGATGAAAAAAAGTAGAAAAATCAGCCCTATTCCATTTTCTTTAACATGTTTGTCAGTAAGAGAAAGCAGTTGGATGATGTATAGTATCATGTATTTAACTCTAAACCCTAATTCTATCATATGGAAATATTGCTGTGAAGGAATACAGAATATAAAGAGGATACTGCCCTGGGATTAGGGTCATTAAGGATATGAGTTAGAATAGGGTTTTGTAATGGAAAGCTAAGGGCAGCAGGGAATGCACGTCTTTACAAAGCTGTTCGTTGGTGTCTTAATTACAGAACAAACTTTACCGCAAAATGACGTAGTTTAGAGCTTCAAAATATGATGTTAGTTATTTTACCCATTTTTTTCTATATGGATACAGAAGAAATCTTGTTTTGTTGCATTCAAGTTGAGAGTTGTATGCTATGCACCAACCATGGTTGATGATGGAAGTTAAAATAGTTGCTTGGTAGTATGTTGTATTCTTTGTGCTTTCTTATTAAATTTGTTATTATTTCAATGTCAATATGATTTAACATCTCTAGTATTTTTACTATTGGTATGGTTCAAAGCACTGCAGAGAGTAGGTAGTTATTGGTGGAAGAGGCTGAATAAAGGAGTAGAGATGGTTTCATCCTTTGACAAGTAGTGGTACAGGAGTGGATAGAACTGTGTTCAGAAGTACTCAGATAGTACTTTAGTACTCAAATGGGCTGCACTGCCTAATCAGTCTTAAGTATTTGTGAAGTTTTCTAAGCTGTTATCAACAGTCTTTGCTATTTATTTTTTGGAAGAATTACTTTTCCTTCTATTGCTGACCCTAGGCTGCCATCCTCTGGTGAAATTTGTTAACTGGCTTTCTGTAGTGAATTGACAAGAGTTTAAGAGTTTAAAAAAAAAATGTTAGTTTTAAACTTTGAAAATTTTAGAAAGAATATAGATTTTTTATTGTTAAAGAAATGTAGATACTTGTACAAAAATAGTTAATAGAGCCAAGTTTTTAGAAGGTTTTGTATCAGATTTTTCCCCCCCACCTCCCCTTTTCCGTAGCATCAGGAGAGTACATATAGATGTATAGATGCAGGTGATTTCTTGGCTTGTCCATTCCCTCTCTCCTTCCCAACAGCTTTCTGTTGATAGAGGTTCATTTTCCTGTGCGTGTGGGAAAAGAGGCTTTCAAGCACCAACCTGTTATCAGCAGTGTTTAGTTGTCTAGTTCAGTTCATTGCTGCCCATATTCAGAAATCACTGCTAAAGCATATTTTATGCTGTAATGTCTACATTGCAGTGTAACATCCACTTGGGTTTACGTCAAAATAAAACAGAGATACAAGATGTATGAATTATTAAGTATTACCCATAAATGCTAATCAAAGAATTATATCTGAAAATAGTAGAGGGCTATTGAACCCGGCAGTGGTGTGTTAAAGGCCGTAAACATAAGTCCTAAGAATTTGTGAAAGGATTTAAGAAATTACTGCCTTTCCTATAGGAATAATTTTTATAGGAGACCATTTGGTATTTATCTGCCTTGATGCAAAGCTGTCAAGGTGATTAAATCACAGCTCAAGCTAACTGAGTTTGCCTCGAAGATGATGACAAACCAAGCAGTTGATAAAATTATTTAGGGGTTACTAAATAAATATTTGGGAGGGCTGATATCTTAAAATGCTTTAAGTCTTTAGAAGGATAAGATCAAGACTACATGGTCTTCTGCCCTTTAGGACTTTGTTTCATGTTTTAATATGTCAGCATCTATTCACAAGGTACCAAGGCTAATGCCTCACTTACAAATATTTCCTAGAGTAATGATTTCAAGGGTCCCACGTTTTCATGAAACTGTATGTGTGTGTAAGGAATTAGCATGCCTCATTTTTTAAAAAACTACTTTCTTGGAACAGGGAGTGCTGTGGTGGAACCATACCCATAGGGAAAGTTTCACGTGAGGTCTGAGACCGAGGGACATTTTCAGTAGACACTGTTAGGATCACTGACTATTCTCAAACAAAATTTGGTTCCCTTAGGAGGCCAAAAAGCCCCAGTGGCTGTTTTGCCTTTGTGTTCCAGGTGGCATTGTAAGCACTGAAACTCTTGTGGTGCATTAAAGACCTCAGCTATGGTAAGAATGGCCGTTTATTTCAATTCTTCCATTTTCTTCTTCAACTGTTAATTGTCATTGATGGTGCTTTGCCTCTCTGGTATGAGGTCGGGAGCTGGTTATGTCGGTATTAGGCAGGGCAGCCTCTCCTTCAGAGGGTGTGGTTGTGGGCTTGGGCTGTTCTGAAGTAGCTATCTGTGAATTGAAGCGGTGAGTAATGATTTACTAGAGGATGAATGACTAGTTTGTTTGGTGTATTACTTTTATGCTACTAAGCTGTTTTATTCTCAGTTACTTAGTTTTACCCTTGCTTCTTTCAGCATCACACAGAAATCTTTTACAAACGGCTCAGAGATTTGGCCATATCCCGAGGTGGCCTTGTCCGGCTTGTTACTTTTGGGGTTTGTGCTAAAGTGCAAAGGATGGAGAGGCTAAGATTGTTCTTTTGAGGGAATGTGGAGCTTCAGCAGAAAATAACATTCGTGTCCAGTATGTGCTCTCTTGTGTCTGTTATATCTCTTATATTCTGTTTTAGTACCTTTAAGAGTCCTGAATGAAGAACTTGTAGAAGATTTAATATAAGATTTTAGTGGTTAGATGATCTTGTCATGGACCATAGCTATAGTCATAGCTATGTCAGTCAGGAATCTGAATGTGTGTGATCTCTAAATAGCATAGCAGTTCTAGCAAAATATAAAATATAAAGAATATAAAAATATATAAGACTAAAAGGAGACCAAGATTATGAAAATTCTCATTTTACTTCAAGTATGCTCATGTACTACAAGTATGCTTAGGGAGATAGGGAAAGTTGGGAGTTTGGGAATTACTTGATTTCTCTGTAGCATTTTCGTCCTATACACCTTTGTGTCACTTCCAGTAGCTGGTTCAAATAAGTCGTTGAACTGGTAGATGTATGAAAAACAGTAGCATTAAATGTGCTTTGTGTGTAGATTTAGAAAAAGGAAGAACAGGGAAAATCTCCAGAGAGAGTCTGAAAGATGTTTAGATATCATCTCTAAAAGCATTCACCTATCGTGTGCTGAAAGAAAAACGTAATATAGACTCAATTCATTATTTTTTATTAAAAACACACACACACACCTATTCTTTAAATTTAATTTAATTTATTCTGAATCCCAATGAAAATATACACTAAATAGATATATAAAATATCTGTTTTATACAGTACTGTTGGTAATGAGATACCTATGTTCTGACTTACGTAAGTCAGGGGAGTTGAGTTCCAGCCACCTGCTGCTTGGGTTCAGCAATTTTAGGGTACATACTAACATTAATGAGGGATTCCTCACCCGTGTGATGTCAAAATTATAAAAGAGGAAGCAAAAATTAAATGAAGAACATGGTTACACTTGTAATAGATAGAAGAAAACGGTTGTGCTGGCCTAAAAAGAGATTGATTATCACTTCTATTAAGCTTCAAGCATATGCTAAATTTTGAATGCTACTCTATAATGTTCAGAGTGCCTCAAATTGCATTGATAGCAAAACATCAAAGGACATTCTCTAGTTGAAGTTGCAGTAATAAATATCAGAAACTTAAAACTTTTTTATTTATTCTTTCATAGTATGAAACCCACCTTTACTTCACTGACTATATTATGAAACTCTATTCTAGTTTGCTGACACCACAACTCAAAATACAGTACCTTTGTTGCACCTTTGCCTGTTTACTGGTTATCAAAAATGGCACAAGAACTTGTCCTTGAAATCTGATAAATTGTTTGCAATATTTTTTAAATTAAAAAGAGAAAAAAAACCTTATGACGGAAAAAGTTATTTTACTCGATTTTTAAAATTTATTTTTAAGAAAAGATGTCAAACCTTTTTTAATTTAAGAATTTAATATCTATAGTAGGAAACATTAAATGCAGTTTCCAGTTTTACTTGCAAGAGTCTTTCCATGAGATATGAGGGTTTATGCTTAAATTATTCAAATATAGATTGAACATTGTCAAGTAATAAAATGGATCCTACCAATATATTGTTTCTACTTTATTGTCTCCAAAACAGTAAATACGCTGTAAACTGGTTAAATAGTATAAAATTGGCATTTCTCAGCAGATTTCAAGTATTATAAAACTGATCTGGATGGATTGCTTTGAAATTCTTCCATTCTGTATTACTTAAGGAAATTTGTAAGTTGTACACTGTTTCTGGCTAAAATGCAACGGAAAGTCGAAGGCTGAACCTCCCAGTACTTTACAGGATTGTTGAAGAGGCTGATACCACTGTATAACGCTTTTTTCTTTCTTCTTCCTATTGGACAGAAGTCATTCACTCCCAGTTTTGCAATATGATTGGAATGGAGGAAGACTACCTGCAGTAATAAGATAGATTAAAATATAATATTTAGTATGTAAATTGGAAATATATCTATGCAATCATTGGCATATAGATAACTGAGGATTTTTATGACAACAATTGATGCAGACACTAGTAGTGTCAGGAATTAAAAATCTGCTTTAAATACTTAGAAAATGTTACCCTCTTGTCACATTCTCTCCCGTCCCCTACAGAAAATTTTGTATTCTTTTGTTGGTGTGTTAGAAAGATTTGTCTCTACTGTTATGGAATACCTTATTATAACCCAGGATCTATATTTTCAGTGGTTTAATAATAGTAATAGGAAGTAGTTTGTAGCAGAGTTGATATTAGGAGAGACTTGCAAACAGTTATATGAATGGATGAGTTTGATGATGATGTAGCATAAATTAGCAAAATTTCTCGTGATGTTAGAAATCAGAATTCTGTAAAATAATGTACATTGACAAGAAGAGTCTTTTGTCAGGAATAACTAAATTTGCATTACATTTTTAAGTTCGTATTTGTTTTTATATGCATATATACACGTGCTTATCCAAAGATGCTTCTCTGAAGTGATCTAACAAGTGGACAGAAGTGAAATTCAGAGAGGAAAACTTCAATCAAATAGCCTACTATGTGCTCTTTGTGCATCTTCCCCTTCCCCCAGGTTTCCCCCTATTATACATCTTGACACATAAGCCATCTTATAAAACATTATTTGCTTCTGATTTCTATTCTGACTGCATTCCTCAGTATGACAGTGTGAAAAACAAATATCACACAAAATCATATATTAAGTTTAGTATATGACCTGCAGATATTTCAGACTGGGTAGTCCAGGAGGAACTTTCTTGAGCTTATTTTTTTCAAGATGGATCTCACGTACGCGTGGTATGTTGGCAAAACTTCCATTTTCCACATCCTTGATTTTATTGTTCCCAAGGCCTAGCCTAGAAATCATACAAGAAATGTTTCTTTAGAGATGAATAGAGACTCTTTTTTAGGGTTTTAAGCACATATAGAGTTCACATGAGGGGAAACAAGTAGAATTGGGGAATGATGAAATCTTACCTTTGTTAGAAAGAAAATGACCTATTTTTTTCTAAATGTAATGTCCACTTAAAGAACAGTAGCTAGCCAGATTATGAGCAGTTGTCCAGTTTTGCATGCAATTTTCCTTCTTTTAGTGGAAAGAGTTAAAATGATAAACATCAACAAATCTGGTTTTAAATTATTTCATGCCCTTTTTAACAAGTAATCTAGCTATAAAGTATATAAATGCAGTAATAAAAATGTTATTTTAATAAATAGCCAAAACCAGTAAATTTTGAAAATAAACAGTTATATCTAGCTTCATCAAAAGCATTGTATCTTAAAAATAAGCAAGTTAATCTTCCTGCTTCTATATTATCCTTAATTAGTCTTTATTTAGATTTTTTTTTTTTTTGCTGTAAGACTTCAACCTGTGCTGCTGTGAAGATGATTCAGACAGTGGAGACTCAAGTCAGTTTGGGGTTGCTGTTTCTACTCATCCTGCAACCCCTTTTTCCTCCTTTCGCTCTATTTTTTCAGAGGCTAAAGTTGGTAGTTTAAAATGGTTCTGTTTTTTACCATGAAATTCAAAATTCAGTGCTGCTCAGACTTTTTTTTTTTTTTTTTAATACTAAACTGGAAAAAATATTAAATACTTTTGATAGATAATGTGACCACAGATGTGTTTTAAGGCTCATATATTCTGAGCTTGTGAAACACATACAGTGCTTGTTAGTGGCATACTAACGCTGGCTATGAGATATTATATGAAAAAAGATCCATTGCACATCATTTGGATACCAAAAGGTAACAATTTGATGATTGCCCTTTGTAATCAGATGTTATTTTTAAATAAGCTTCTACTGAAGTTACAAACACATATACCTGTATCGTATATTCAATATTTTGTTAGAAGTTAGTTATTTTTATTTACAATCGGTCCTTCTAAAAACTTTCTACCTCCTCTTTCTCCTGCTCTTTCCCAAGTAAATACTAGGAAACATTCTGCTTAGTAACAGTTAGTTACCTTTGAAGGTCTTTATAGCGGTTAAAATCCTCAAGTTCAATTGTTGTGATCTTGTTGTCATCTAAATGAAGCTCTAGGAGACTGGAGGGAAGTTCTGGTGTAGAACATAGACAGGAGGAGAAAAATTAAATGAACTTTTAAAGCAATTTTTTGTTGGAATGTTTCCAACTTTCTGTTGTGTTTGAAACAGGATCCTTGGGGGGATTTTCTGCAGCAGATAAATGAGTATTGCATACAAGTATTCCTTTTTTAATTCTTAGCAACATCATTTAATTTAAAATAATAGCATTAGAGATGGTAAATGCTTTCCTGTTTGATCACTGATTGTTCTTGTTTGGAAGATTCAAGAGTAAACTGTTTTTTTTTTTTTCAGAAGTTTACCATGTGAATAGTCATGGTTAACAAGGTGTTGGTGTTTTTTTTTTTGTTTTTTTTTTTTTTTTTAGTGTGTAAGGGGAGTTATCTAACATAACAACCAGGCCTGCTTTAGGTGAATGTCAAAAGGCAAGCAGCCTTCCCTGTGATGTTCCTGTGGTTTGGCAATTTGATTAGTAAGGCTGAAAAATAATAGCTAAGGAGGAATAATATTAATCCTTGACCTTTTCATAAGTTTCATATATTGCATTTTCCAGTATTTTACAGAGGATCTTTCAACAGAAATAGAACAAAACAGGATGGATGGGCAAGTGTCAGTTTTTATATATAGTTTTCTAAAGTTAACCATTGACATTTGGAAAATAAAAATGTGAAAATGCTTATGGTGATGTTGAGAAAATAAGAGTCAAAATGGGTTTCAGAGTTCCAAAGTTCTGTGTAGCTTTGCTGTCTCAATAATGACTTTCATGCACTGGATGTTACATTCGGTTCTTCAGTAGAGGTTAGACAAGATCACACTCCGTGGAACCTGTGACATGCCTGTAGATACTTACTTTCCTTCCAAAGGATGTAAGAGTTGTGCTGTTCCAGCTTTTAGCACATGTTCTGGCAGGAGAGCTTTTGGATTCTATGCACTTGCTTTATGCCAGTTGACATCATGGATTTTCTCCTGTTTACAGTTCCTCAGGGCGTTGCTTTTGTCTGAGTTACAGTATTAAGAGAGCAGATGCTCCATCTGCCCATTGCAGATTTAAAGGGCATTTTGTAACATTTGAAAAAAATTTTATGCTAATACAATATGTACAGTTAGAAGGGTTTATGATACCTACCATTAGCAGCTGAGTACTTTCTGATCCTAAAATTACCATATCTTAATATTTAGGGTGGGATTTTTTTAATTTTTTTTTTAACTACTCTTTCCTATGTCTCATCTTGCTAGGAAAAGGAAGTAAATTTATCTGGATAAGGCACTAACAAAAATCTTAGGGTCATACATGTGTTCTCTCTGTGAGTTGAAAAATTATCAAGTAAATGGTACTGTGCTTCTTCCTCACTATTTTTCTATTAGCTAGCTTTTTTTTTTCAATTAGCTTTTTTTTTATTAGCTTGGATTATTGCAAATCATGAAAATTTCATGCAATAATGGTGGCTTACAGAAAAACGCAAATGGTATACTCTGTTCTTTCATGCTATTGTTTCATTATTTCTTGAGTGGATCATTTGTAAAGCAAGTGTTTTAATTTATTACAACTCCAACTCAACAAAACAGTGATTTAGTTTTATAGTATGTTACATGGGTATCATTAAAATATTAATATTATATTTTGGATTTATTTTGCTGCAGAGCATATCTGATCTTTAGGAATTTAGGAGAGGTCAATGGGAAAGATCTGAAGTGTGTTAAAATTTGCTTTGGTTTTGCTGCCTGGCCTCTTGTGTCGGTTCTTGGTGTTGTTTTGTGGGGAAGAGCCAGGGGAGCCTGCTGGGGACAGGGGTGGGGGGCATGGAGCAGTGGGTGCACACACATGCACGCCTCGGATGTGGCTTAAAATTGGATCCTGCTGCCCAAAAGAAGAGAGGGGCAAAATGAGCTAGGAGACGCTTTGGAAGGAATGAGCAGGGAGGTTGGTTTAGAAAAGACTATTTATGAACACTTGTGTAAAATTAATATGTGTTAAATAATTTTAGTACTGAAGTAGCTAGAAAAGATAAAACAAAACATACCTTTAGGAATTGAAGTTAATTTAGCTTCTGCAATTCTTATATGATAGATATTTACTCCTTCAAAAGCTCCTGGCTCTATTCCATCATTGTTTATAGGATTGGCACTCATTTCTGTCCAAGAAACAAACAAGTACTTAGGAGGAATTTTTTATGTGTTAACTGATTTTAATTTATTCATAATGGTGACTTCCAATGTCTGAAGAATTAATTAATTTAACATCACTGATTATATTCCAAGAAGCCTGTATTGAAGTTTTGTAATCTCTGAGTATTTCTTATTATATCTAGCATATCTTCATCATACCCAGAACTGTTTGGGAAAGCTGACCAGACATGCAAGGAATCACCTCAGGAGAAATAGGTGTTGCAACTGGAACGTTATTTGTAGGGGCCACCGTTAATTCTCTTTGATCATCTGTTCTTGGTTGGCAGCGATCGCTTTCAGTGAATAAAGACTGTAAAGCTTCCCTTGCAGCATTACCGATACCTCAGCTATTTTGCAGCTTCTCATACAATTATGAAAGAGGGTTTCCGCAGCATGGATATCTCCTCACTAAGGAAATATGTGAATGAAAAATACCTGAAATATGTTAAACTTTTAGTACATATTTCTATTTAATTGGACTTACCCAAAACATGTAAAGACTTCATTCCTTTAAAGGCTTCTTTGTGGATTTTCTTCACCTTGTTAGCATGAATTCTGAGCTCTGCTAAAGATGTTGGTAGATTTGTTGGGATTTCAGTTAGCTGGTTATGAGACAAATACAGGCGTCGTAACTTTTTTGTTGGTAGAAAGGCTTTTGGGTGGATCTTGGATATTTTATTGTTGTTCAAAGCCAGTGCCTGTGGGATATGAAAAAAGTAATGCAAAGAACATTTATCTACATGGGAATTTTGTGATTATGCATTCTAAGTGAGGGTGTGGTATATAATAAAGTTTTTTTTTTCTGAATTTAATTATTATCTACCTTATTTTCATACAGGAGCTTATTCACTAACATTGAAATGCATCAGTACACATTTTTGTTATATTAAAAATTTGTGAATATCTTGTATACTTCACTTAATCATGAAAAAAGTAAAATGTGGGCAATCAACTGGATAATGAAGAGAGAGCCCTGCAGAGCTCACAGGGTGCCAATGAACTGATAAAACAGCATGTTTGTTTTCAGATGTTTTGTGGAGTCCTGTATTCTTCATTTTGTTTTGTTCTTTAATGCAAACAAATGCAGACAAACTCAAAATTTCAACCCTTATTTCAGAATGGTTATGCTGCAAAAAAGACCTTTTCTGTCTAAATTTCTTAAAAGTTAATGTCTGTAAACCAGTTGTTTATGCACATCAATTTATCTTATTTGCCATAATTTTCAACTCTTATGGATTTAAATGTCTCTCTTGACTATGCAGTTAATGCAGTTATTTTTGGAGAGTTTCTTGTTCCTGGCTACAACTTGTTCCTACACAGTGAAAGTGTATTACCAGATAACTTATATAAGTAGAGACAGCAAGACATGAATTATTTGAAAATATTTTGCAGGTCAGATCACATTTCTGCATTTCCGTATCTAAATTATTACTTTTTGTTCCTTTTCTACTTCCCTGAGCTGTTGCTTCTGCTTACACCGATCATGGAAAAAACAGAGCAAAACAGAATAGTCTTTTTTCCCGCAAGAAAAGGGGACGGCTTAAGGAAATAAACAGGAAATTCTTCTTCCTAATCCAAATTGTCATCTGTGGTTTTGTTAAGGGAATCTACTGCTCAGATAAATTCTCCAAAATAAACTTTGCTTTCAGTAAAAATTCTGTCTTGCTAAATGATCACAAGTTAAGTGATGAGAAAAAATGAAAACAGCTCAGAGTTTTCAGTAGTCACATAATTAAAAGGTGACTGTCATGTATAATGTGGTGATTCCTGATGTATTCCAGTGTCACGCTGTCATTGGAGGGTAGTGCTTGTAAGAGTTTATATACTAGAAATAAACTGCAAATGCTGTGTTTACCCTTCATTTGCTGGTTAGAGTATTGTGAGCCCAGACACGAGACATTCAGCTGTAATTGCAAACAGTGGAATTGTCTGGCTCCTCTATTTTCTATTCTAGATTAATCCATAACAATTAAAAAGCTCGTTTATAAACCCTGTATCTGGATTCAGCTCTTGCTCAGAAGCCAAAGATGACGAAAAAAAGATTTGTTTGACATTGGTTTAATGGGTCTCTCCTGTCTTTTTAATGTGGAGTAGGCTGCCTCTAATGTGTTACAGCTTGTGGGACGCTTTGTCTTTTTTATGAGCAGTTTGGTCTTTAACAGTACTGGATCTCGAGTGACATCTTGTGGAACGATGCATTCTGAAGCAGATGGATTCAGTCGAGCCTTTCCAGGCACCTGAGATTATTTTGTTTTCTTTCTTTGTAAAAAGGGGATTATTATGAACTACTCCTATGGAGCTTTAACAATTGCTAGTGGTAATTATCTTGGTCTGTTTTAGGTGCATGTTTGAGCATGTTAAAAATGATGGTAAAGCACATGCTGTCTTGAGGAATTCAGCGTTGGTCTACTTTCTGCCCTGGTCAACTGGATTTCTCTCTTTACTCTCAGCAGCTCATGTTAGTTGTATGCGGGGTACTTTTGAAAATGTTCCTCAGAAGGTGTATCTAGTTCTGCTGTGATGTTACGTTTGGTGAACTATTGCAGTTTTGTGTATCCAAGTGAGGAGCCACATGAGCAAACGAGGAGGACTTCCCTTGCAGCCTTTAAAATGCAGGAAGTATTTTTCTACATGCTTAAGATTTATTCAGGCTTCTGGAAGTTTGTGGAGTGACCGGTGTGATACATTTCCTGGATGTTGTAGAAAGTATCATAGTTCTTACTGCTCAAAGAAACTTCTTGCACAACTTAAATGAGCACCGGAATATGCAGCCGTATACATACTCTTGGAGAGTAAAAATACCATGTGTATTTTAAAAGTATTGTGTTTTAGAAGCATGGGAATATTTCATATTAGAGGTCCCTTCCAACCTTAAGCATTCTAGGATTCTATGATATTGCTAAATAAGTCAGAAAATAACAAGCTTACATAAAGTGATGTGAGTCCTTGGAGATCATTTTCCTTGACTACTCTAATTTTGTTGTTTTGGAGGTCGATCATGCGAGTATCTGGTGGAATGTTACGTGGTATTGATGTTAATCCTATTTTGATGAAGGAGATATAAGAGAAACTGTAAATATTTTCATATGTGTCCAGAGAAATTAACTACTAAACAGAAAAACACAGTGAGATTATTGATAAGGGTGATGGGGAAGAAAATGCAAACAGCCATAAAACAGATCTCAAAAGAAAATACTTTTGGTAATGAAAGGATGTAAATAAGTAGGTAATTTTGGGAGGACTGCTTCTACCCCTGCAGACCATGCAAAGCATCACTGGCATGCCCACGCACACTCCTTGCATCTGTGAAATAAGCAACCTCAGAGCTGCCAAAGACGTTAATTTTATTTCCTAATTATAAAATTTCTCACCCAGGTCAGAGCAGTGGACAACTCTCAAATAGCACTGGCATCCAAAGGGGCATATTGAGAAGAGATCAAAAGGTATAATTGGTTCTGTGGTTGGAAACAGAGAATTCTCCTCCTCCTTCTCCTCCTCCTCTTCCTCCTCCATATCTTGGAGCATCACATTCTTTAGCGTTAAATAGGAAGGACCAGTGAGAGGCTTAGCAGAGCACAAAGCCAGGAAGAGAAGGAGCACATATCCTTTCATGTTGTTTTAATCAGGAAAGCCTATCTTGAAGACAAAAAATGTTTAAAAAAATGAATATGAAAAAGGAAATAAACGCATTTTACTACTTCACTCATTTCTGTGCTCCACTGGATACTCTGTGGGTATTTTTAGTGTAGTTCGTGTCCATTGCTTGCATGAAGATAAATGGGGAATATTTAGTTAGAAATATATTAAATGCCTTCATCACAACATTCCCTAAACACTTCTTATTCTAATTTGGAATACAGATTGAGTTTGTAGGCTTAGCAGCTTTTCCCATATTCCAGGCATTCATATTTTCTTACTGATAAAAGGTCCCCATTGCATTTTAATGCAAGCACATTTGTATTGCTTGTGTATTTGACCAGGCCTCTCTTCTCTAGCAAGGGTTTGCGGTTTATGGATTCACAACATTTAAAATCAGTAACTGCATGAAACTCCAGAAGTGAACTGCAAGACAATGCTTTTGTGTGAATATATTTCCAGTGAGTTTTTTTTTTTCTTTGAAAATGTAATTCAGTTGCCCTGAGGTCTGTACCTCATTCCCAGCCCAAAGGGACAGTATTTGCATTTAATGCTATAAAAGCTTTTTGCTTTCTAGATTACCTGTAACCTGAAAGGATCCTTCTTCAGTAATCTGATGTCCTTCAGTCTGGAAGACAGAAAGACATTGGATCAGTCAGGGCATCTCCAAGCAGATACATCCTAGGCAGATAGCTATAGTGAGAAGAAAGCACCGAGGAGAAACTGAGATGTTACTGAAAAGAAAGTTACCGGGGACAAAAAAGTAGTTGTAAAAGTAATTGTAAATTGTAAAAGCAATTTACAAAAGTAAAATCGTCTTTAGAAAAATGCAGGCATCACTGTGAGGCAACTCTGCCTCACTGTAGCTGGTCATTCAATTTCATTCAAATTTCAAGTTTTGAGTTCAAATTTCAGCAGATGTCTCTCAGCTAGACCTAAGTGGGAGAACTGTGAGTCTAAGTTGTCCAGTTCTGAATGAGAGTGTTATGTTTCCTGTGTAATGAGGATCTATAGTTTAAAATATTTGGCTATTTTCTACATGATCTGTTTATATTCTATGTTAATCAAGTTCATTGACCAAATTGTCTTGTGAAACTGGGCACAAAGTAGAATAGAGGTAAGGAATTTCCCAACAATATCTTACCACTGCTCAATAGACTTTCATGCCTCAAGAAAGCTGGTTCTCTTCCTGCAATAGCAGTGCATTGTCACGCTAGATTACAAGAAATGTCTTTAAATTTTGTTAGTAGAGATGCCTTTTCATATATGATGTTTAGGTTTGAAATTTCTCTAGAACATATTAAGAAATGTTATGAATAAAGGAGGTGCTAGAAATAAGAGCGATGTCCTTTTAGTATCACAGGAATTCTGCCAGGCAAGATTTAAGAAATGAATGAGCAAAATAGCTTGTTACTGGTTAGAAATAGTAGCTACTGCCCTTTAATAGGTGTTTTTGGAATAGTTTTTATAAGAGGAATAATTTGGTAATCCTGAAATGGTTCATTAGCTGGATGTATCTCAGTATTTCCAGTCTCTTTCACACAGTATGTGAGGAATTCAGTATAGTGAGGACTAATGAACTGTTACAAAATAGAAACTGATTAATTTATTGGTCATTTAAGACTTCTCTTTGGGCAAGACTTTGGAAACACTATTATAGAGGGTGACTAAAGTGTTTTATTCAAATGTCAGTTAGCATTTAAAACAAAGCAAAAAAAAAAGTCCTTAGAATTCAACCTTTCACTCTACAGTATTCCATCCCAAGTCCAGTTCAGGAAGCACTTTGTATCTTACTGTACACAGTACACAAAGCAAGAGGGGCTGTTTTAACTGCTGTTATGCATATCCTGTTTATAAAAAGTTTCTGTTTTGACTATTGTACATTCTTTTAGGGAAATAGTAAATGGATGTCAATTCTTGATTAATCACCTAATTAAATATTTGTTGGTCTGCTTATAGCTGAAAAATCTCATGGAGCTGGCATTTTGCCATGTGTCCTTATTCACAGAAAATTAAGTGCATTGATTTGTACAGGGGTGTTGACTTTTTAATAACTTTTTCTTTATATAAGATCATTTTGATATTTCTTTTATATGATTCTTCACAGTATTGCAATGCTGTGTATTCTTTACATTGCTCCTAATGTTACTTGAAACATTTTAAGGTTTATGAAATGGAAAAACACTAGTAGTATAGCTAGCTTTAGCTGTACTACTAGCGTAGTCATCGTTTATAGGTATAGGTCTATAAGCCTTATCCTTTCAGAAATAATAGAAAGGGACCATTTTCCAAATAGAGGTATTTGTGTACAGAAGCACAGATACTTTGTATCTCACAGGAACTATAGCTTTCATACTTAATGTAATCTTCCATCCGAGTGCTTATTTAAATATTCTGTCTTTTGGTGGAGCATTTAACAGTTTCTTAAGCTTCACTGAGTTTCTTTTGTGTTCAAAATAATGTTTGGATATGATACTCTTAGCAACAATACTAGAGTTTATTTGAAAACCTCTACAATTTTTCGATTTTCTTTTTGATAATCTGTAATATTCTTAAATCACTTGCATACTAAAGTGTACTTTTATGAGATATCAGGAAGAGGTAGTAGTGATGCTGCCCACTTCCTCTAAATAGTGGTTTAAAAGGTTGCTCCAAATTTCAGGCATTATAGGATATGGTCATAATCAGCAAGGTGATATAAAAATGCTGCTTATCTCTTTATATAGATGAGCATGTGGCAGAGAAAGAGTCACTGGAATAATAATAATAAATAAATAAATAAATAAAACAGAATAATGAAGAGAGGAGCAAAGGCCAACCCCAGAGACTACTTCAAATTTTGCTTGAAAGTGTCTTTGAATGTAAACAGTGCTGAGTCCAACATGTGGAACCTATAATGGTTTGTTTGCAGGAACTGCAGTCACGTCTGGCTGGAGACCTTTTGCATCCTTAGCCCCATCAGTCTTGTATTTCACCTTCAGTGAAACAGACCCAGTACTTCAGTCGGGAGATGATGAGCTTGAAGCATTTCGGATTCTGAGTTCTCCTTACTCTTGGCCAAGTGCTTGTATTTGGAGATAGGCTGTTAAGATGGTCTTCTTCCTCTGGCAGCTTGTGTAGTAAAGTGATGGATGTTCTGTGCTTCACTCAGAGTAATGTTGTACAATGTATGCATGGAGGGGGTCAAGTTCTGT